CGATGAAAATTAAAATGTAAGCGTAAACTGAAATATGATGTTCGTACGATAAAACTGATTTACGTCTAAACGCCGATTCGAAAAATACTGAACTTTGAAACACGATCGTAAATGCGCAGAAGGTAGTAAGCTATTTAGGAGGTTTGCAGTAAAGATAATATACTCAAAGTAAATGCAAATCGAGATTTAGAGTGGTTCGGTCAATCTTGACCTACATCCACTTTTGGCTTCCTCCACCGATAAGGTCACTGACATCCACTAGAGGCCTTCCTTCAATAGACGAAGACCAACCACCTTTTTATATTTTCACTCCTTTTGACGGGCTTAGGAGACAACCCTTATAGAATTTTCTTTCCTCTCTTGACAGATCAAAACTTGGAAGAAAAGAGAAAGGAGAACTTTTAACTCATACAACACTTTTTGAGCTCTAAAAATCACAAAGTAAGATCAGGATTTCAGTGGTTTTTTGTTGCACTTTCATTGCTGAAAGAGTGGGGTATTTATAGCCCCCAAACCAGTTTGAATTCCGAGCTCAAAACTATCATCTCCTGGAATTCCGGGGTCTGGCGGTTGCACCGCTTGGTAGAGCTCGAAGATTGAGCCTTTGGGTGGTGCCATCGCTTGTCAGGGGCGGTTGCACCTCTTGCCAGAGCTCGGAGACCGATGCCCTTGGCGCAACTCCGCAACTCCGATATCCTTGGCGCAATACCCGCTCTTCTTGGTCCGATGCCCAAGTCCACGGCCTAAAGCCTTCTGTCGATACGTCGACCGATCCATCGGCCCGACGTCCAATCTTCTGACATGTTCCTCCGGCACAACATGATTTTTCCTACTTTAATTGTCTCATCTTGATCGGAGCATCCTACGTCACTCAAAACGCAGATTAAAACATAAATACAATTATCAATTGGTTTCATTATCAAAATACGAGATTCAACTGTTGTAAAATTTATTTATCAATTTGTTGATATGGTTTTTTACCTTGAGTTGAACACATTAATAGATTTTATTTTTGAATGGCCAATGAAACCAGAAATCTATGCAAATACTTTTTGAGCCCATTTATGTTGTGATTGATTATATAGGAAATTCATCTAAAATTACTTGCAACGTTGATTACTTCGGTGTGGTGGTTGACCATTGGAAATCTAAAACCAGTGCAACTCAAAATCCTTATTTCTTTTTTATTTGTTTTGGTTTAGTTTGTAATTTTTCATTTCTGCAAAGAATATTCTTTTCTTTCAACAATATGATTAGTCCTCTTACTCTGATTTTATACACATAATTTGGTGAGAAGGAAATAAAAATCGTAAATCTAAAGCAAACAAAATAACTTTGAAATAAAAAAAAGGTTAATCTTGATGGAGTTAGTTCTTCATTACCTACCCAAAGGGGATTGATTGATCCACACTCATGAAATTACTTTTGTTATTTCATAATATTCTAACCCAGCCATCACATTAATCGGATTCGATCCGACCCGAGCTAATCGGATCCGACCCGACTGCCTCCATCAACAAGAGCCAAAGCCGCTACGATTGTTTTTCTCTTGCGATCAGTTCATATATTTCTGCGTCCTAATTTCTCCTACCGCAACATATACCTTTTCTTGGAATTGTAGAAAAAAGAGGGCTCCATGGTAGGCCCCGGCGAGGCGGTTTCTGTGTCGAATAGTAATCAGGTGCGGCTAAGAGCATTCGGAAAGCTCGTAGATGAAGTATCTTGTTTTCTTCCCCCTTCTCCTTTTTCCTCGTCTCATTCAACCCTAACCGCATAAATAGTGTTCCGCCGTCTCCTTCCTCTTCCTCTTCCTCTTCCTCCTTCCTAGGGTTTCCCAGACCCTAGACGCCTTTAATGGAGCACTCGAAGCGGAAGCGCGGCCGTAAGACCAAGAAGGCCGTCGCCGAGACCATGGACTTCCAGATGGCTGCATCCGGTGCTCCTTCGCCGTCCGCCCTCGACGAGCCGCAAGAGATCCCCGACTCTGCTTCCCCCAAGCCCCGTCGCGGAAGGGGCCGGCCCAAGAAGGCCACACGCCGCCAAAACCTTGCCCCCGCTGACTCTCCCGCCTCCTCCCCCATCCGACGGGGCTCCCAGGTCGTCGCCATCAACGGCGAGCACGGCGAGTCTGGTCTCGCCGTGGTCTCCCTCGATCCGCCACCGCGGTGGGACCAGGTGGTGAGAGTCGTGCCCTCCATGGACGCGGTCGTCAAGGTATTCTGCGTGCACACGGAGCCAAACTTCTCGCTGCCGTGGCAGCGGAAGCGGCAGTACAGCTCGAGCAGCAGCGGGTTCATCATTGGAGGCAGACGAGTGCTGACCAATGCCCACTCGGTCGAGCACTACACCCAGGTGAAGCTAAAGAAGCGTGGGTCTGATACAAAGTACGTTGCTACTGTGTTGGCGATCGGGACTGAGTGTGATATCGGTAAGAGTAGAAGGTTATCATTTATGACGTATAGGTTCTTCGATTTCAGTTCGAAAATACTCGTTAGAACTATGAAATGGATGCTTTTTCCGCTTGTGTGTATGTTATCGTTTTTGAAAATATCATTGTCTGGATGCGTTTTCCGCTTGTGTGACACAGTCAGACAGCAACTCGAAATCAATGGCATTTGAATAAACCATTTCCTGAGATGAGGGGATTTATGGTTCTCCTTTGTCTTTCTACGTTATCCTCATCCTATTTATATACACATATATATTTCTGTAGACGTATGGAAAAGTGTTAAGTAGCTACAAGGGTTCGAATGGCATTTTTGGTCCTCTGATGCCAGGGTTTATTTTACTGGGCCCATTGGTTTAGAGTTATCCGGAGATGATACATTATTACTTGATATGACTAGAAGGGAGTTTTTGTTAGAATAGGATGAAGTAAGCCAAAATGATTTGTCATCTTACTATGACATCTTTGGGACATATTGTTCAATGTGGTGAATAAGGTGCTAAATATGAATTTCTTAACTAACAAATTAAACCATTGTGACCTTCTTACTGGAGTCACTAAGACCCATCTCTATCTGATTGATCGTGTCAGGCATGTATCTTGGTGTCTCAAATTCCAAATTTAGACAGTAATAAACTCTTTGACAATAAAATTTGAGTATCAAGTTTTTGGTTTGGCATCTGACAGATCCATTTTTTAAGCAATCTTATAACTTTGAAAAAAATGAGATGTTATTAATAAATTTTTTTTCTCTTTTTTTCCATCATCATCACCTTTGTCTCATTGCCAAGTCATGGATATGCTGTAATATCATTTACGTATCTGCAATTGTGCTTCACTGTTTCTTGCCAAGTAGGAGATAATATGATTATACAGTTATCAAAATTCCCGTACATCTTTTGTAGCAGCAATTCAAAGAGTTAGAAAAGTTAGAATTAATGAGGGTGCTTAATTAAATGTATTCCTTTATATAGATGTCATACCAAAGGATATTTTGTGTTTGAGTGAGTGCGAAGTGAATTAAAATGCTATTGACTTAGATTGAACCAAGAAATGGAAATTAGGAAAGCTGTAGATGCTAAAGTTTTTTTTTGAATATATAGACATGTGGCCTAGATCAGACATCTATATGAAGGTTAAGTCAGATGATGGTAATTTATTAAAAAAAATTGGATGATAGGGAAGGTGCTAGCAAGCCTAGCATGACCTTCTATTTGAGAAAATCTTAATAGGAGACCAAGAATATAGGATCAAATATTGGCTTCACCATGATATAACATCTTTGCAAAGAAAAGGAGGTTAGATGCTCCCATCCCTTTACCACGATGGTTGAGCATTTGGTTGTGGTTCAACACGGTGAGGTCCTATCCCTTTTACAGGCACCTTGTGTCTTTTGCTTGCGCCTTCTGTGCTTGTTGCTTGTGCCATTTGTTAGACACCTTGTGTACCTGTTCAGGCCTCATTGGTTGTACCTCTTTTTACTTCTGGGGCTGGTTGTGCCTGGGTGGCAGTGGTTAAAAAAAGGACTGAGTGATATGCATAGCAGTGCTTTAGAGAATTGTAAGCGATTAATGGGTCACCTGATGTTATCTACCATCTATGCTCTAGGCGACTTTATTCTAGTGGACACCTAACAATGGAGTGGTCCAGCATGACATTAACAACATTAAAGAAAAGATATTATGTTCGAGTAATGAAATGCACCCCGTCTTATCCTTAAAGCAAACTATTCCTTACTCTATATAGTAAAATGATTAAAAGGAAACTAAAGCTTAAGAAAATGTTTTTAAGTTAGAGTAATGATAAATCTTGACCTTTCTAAAGCACGTCTCATGTTAATTACTGATCAAAGATGAGGTTTCTTCATAATGAACTTTCATTTGATATTTTTAATTTGTTGGAGCTTGTGAAAAACAAGTATACATATTGCTGAATAAAATAATTAATCAGATCATTGGTTTTTTGCATGTATGATTTTTCATTTCCCTGCATGACTTAAGTGGTATATGATATATAGTATATGACCAATATCTTCCTATCTATTTTTTCTTTGCTCTTGGTATTTATGATTTCTTTTGTTTTTTTCTTACTGCAGCTATGCTGACTGTCGACAATGATGAATTCTGGGAAGGCGTCTCTCCAGTGGAATTTGGTTCCTTGCCAGCTCTTCAAGATGCTGTTACTGTTGTAGGATATCCAATTGGTGGAGACACAATATCTGTCACTAGTGGTGTTGTATCACGCATGGAAATACTATCCTATGTCCATGGTTCTACAGAGCTTTTAGGTCTACAGGTTTGGAAGCTGAAACTTGGTTTAGTTTTCCTTTCTAAAGTTCTTTTAGCAAAATCCTCCATTACATTTATTATAAATTTGATTTCTTACCCTATTTCATTTTTTTGATATTGTTGACCACTTCTAAATTTAACGCTGTTGATGTTTTTTTCTTCTTTTCTTCTTGGTTCCTTTTGACTTAATTAGCTTCACCATTTCAGATAGATGCAGCCATAAACTCAGGAAATTCGGGTGGCCCTGCTTTCAATGATAAGGGAAAATGTGTAGGTATAGCATTTCAGTCCCTCAAACATGAAGATGTGGAGAATATAGGTTATGTCATACCTACGCCTGTCATTATGCACTTCATTAATGACTATGAAAAGTCAGGAGAATATACAGGTACTTAATAAATTTGCTTGTTAATTGTGGTTCTTTATTGTGTTCATTCAAATTGATGCTGCATAATTTCTTTGTATTTTGGTGTATATTACATGTTGACATCATGTTGTTTCCGAAGTTCATGCTTGGTTGCATTAACTTTTCCATTTAATTTATTGTGATCATTGGTGTAGGGCTGTGCTATTGGAACTCAAAAACTTCTGTTTAGCTTAAATGATTTTAGAATGCCAGAAATTGTGTTACTCTGCTTGCGATAAGATTTATGTAATTGATGTTAGATGTACTGAATAACAATAATATTTTCACTAATTTGTGGATAGGTCTGAATGGGCTCCAATTAGCAAAGCTGAGCTGTTGTAAGATTTAACTATAAAATTGGATGATATATCTTTTCCACATCCCACTTAGTTCACCCAACAATCTTTTTGGATCTGACAATTTTGCATTTGTCCTCCTATTTATTAAATCTCTCTACTAGCAAGCCCAAATTGTTCTTTCACAGAAGCAGAAACAGGCCTTCTGCTATTGTTCTGTTTATTCCTGATTTTTAATCTTGTTGATTTTTTTTCCTGATTAATTATTAAGATCCGCTCCACATTTTGTTTCCTGGAGGATTGCAGAAAACAAGTAGTTTTTTTGTAATTTTAGAGTGAGCAAACCATACAGAAAACTTATCATAGAGAGTAACTAATGAAAGGCGCCTTAGGTGAGTGTTTGAGTGCCTTTTGGAAACACTACAAGGTAGTGACATTTTTTGATGAAAGCCCTAAGGTATAGCCAAGACTTAGATGGAACTTGGATTGAAGATATCCATCAACAACAAAGGCACTCCTAGATGTAAGATTGAAGAGGTAGTGGAAGTCAACCTTGAGGGCATCAGAGTAGACTCATGGAATAGAGTGTTCTAGAATAAGAAAGCATCCTTGACTTGTCCAAGATAATCAAGAAACTCTGGTGCAATCATGGATTTGTATCCAGAAGGTTCATTGTCTCGTGTTGATCAGCAGTGCCAATTTTGGCTCGAATCGATACGTATTAGTTTTCAGAAAATTGGCCAAAAAATGGATAAAAATTAAAAACTTATTTTAACCCCTTATCTTAATTTATTGCAATTTCAATTTAATTTTGATAAGAATAAAGTGCAAATGAGTTATATGGTTAGTAATGGTCAGTTTTTAGGATGAGATAATGAATTTTATCTTTTTTGGATCGTTGAGGGACAACTTTATCGCACGGTCATTTGTTGTTGTCATTGGTCTTGAATCATTTATGAAGATATCAATTGAGATCTTAGATTGTGCGTCGAAACTTTATGATTTCAGCAAGTAATAAATGGAAGCATATGTGCTCATACAACCAAAATCAAAGTCAGAATTCCATAGCCATTGGAATTCATATATCAATATGGTACGTCTTTTCCCATGACATAGTGTACTTGTAAACAGTATGCTATTGATGCATCAACATGATAATAGTTGTTGCTTGATCATCATTAATGACATGTGTCCGAGGAGTCTCCTGAGGCAAGTATGATTGTGGTATGTAGGCATGTAATAGTTGTTGCGTACCTTCCACCAAATGATGCGTTTGAATCTTTTGAAGTTTTTGATGAGCTCTAATTATCAATTAGGATGTTTAATTGAGGAAGAGAGTGAGAAATAGCATAAGTGACAAGGAGTGAAGAGGGGACGAAAGGGCTTTAAAAAGACAGGAACTAGCCTCAACAAGGGATTTGATCGTTTGACCGTAATTGAATTGGCCCATTGAATTGATATGATCGAAATCAAATTGTTTATAGTTGAGTATCGACTGTACTAGGCAATATAGGCGGTGTGCTCGACGTTATTCCTCGTGCTTAATGCGTTACTCGAAACGGGTTGGTTTGCAAATTAGTCATCGGGCGGATCGGTACGTATTGCCACCCATTTCGTATGGTAGTCATTACTGTATTCAATATTTTAAAACCTTGGCTTTGCGATCCCTACAAGATTATCAAATGCATAATGTAAGCCAAGTGTCTTGTAATTTTACTTTACAATGTTGGGATTATAAATATTTTGATTTTTAATTTCTTTTGATATTCGTATTCTCTTTGTTTTAAATGTTTAATCTGTTTAGCTTTGTTAGCTGCATTGCATGGAAAGATAATTTTTCTCGAGGATATGATCGGTTAGCTCTGCTAACGGTCGGAATCTAATTGATAATTGTTTAGTATTGGCCATATCAGGCAATATACAGGGTATGTCAGGTGGCATACCCCATTCTAACTGCGTATCGCTCGAAATGAGTTGTTCTGCATGATGACCATAAGGTGGATCAATATGTATTGCCTCATACCTTATTAGGTGGTACGGTTATCATTATTATTATTCAATATTTTATTATTATTTTGGGTGATTAGGGGTAGTACAAGTCGGTGCATCACCTAGTATATTTTCGCATCCTTAGTTGGGATTGCCTAAGGCATGTGACACCCAAGTGATATGCATCCACAACGGTTAGGCTAGCCCTTAACCACGTGTAGTCCATACAAGACTTGCACAACGAAGAAAAGGTTACAGAGGTGAACGTGCGAGTCATTTTCCACCATCACGCATGAAAAAGGCAAGATAACCGAGATCATGAGCAACACAAAGAAAGAAGCTTTTATTAGGCTCGAAAGGGTCTTGAAAACGGTTTGAATGAGCACACACTAAGGGGATTTTGAAGATAGATGTAGGCTCAATGTTCTCCCAGCACTTTTATCGAATAGAAATTGGGTACACTAAAGGCATTGCATCACCCCCTTATACACTTACCCAAAGCCCCATTTGTGCCGATGCCACTTGGGGCGTTCTAAGGTGCTGTGACGGTTGATGTTTGACACCGTTAGGTCGTCAACCAGAAATCAGCCCATGGCACGTGAAAATGGTGCAATTTTAGGTCATTTTTCCCTTCCTGCGATGCCGCATAGCCAAAAACATTTTCACATTTTACATGATAAAAACACAAAACAAAAACATTGGCAACAAAAAAAACGGGGCTGACTAGTTTTCTGACTCGAAAACATCAAGAAAATAGCATGAAACAAGAACTGAAAATTATCAGACAGGTGTTGAACACCTTGTCTGCATTGCTCCATGAGAATATTGTCTTGTACTTGTCTAGTTGGTATTTTGTATCAGAGTGACATTTAAAACCTTGGCTTTAGGGTCCTTGCAAGATTATCATATACACAATGCAAGCCAGGTGGCTTGTAGTTTTACTTTGCAATGCAGGGCTTGCAAATATTGCGATTCTTAATTTCGTTTGCTATTTATGTCCACTTTGTTTCAAAAGTTTAATCTGTTTAGCTCTGCTACCTGCTCTGCATGCAAAGATAATTTTACCCAGGGTTAATCACAAGATATTCCCTTTTGGGTTATTGCTGTCCTTTTCTATGCTAATGCTCTATAAGAAATGTCATATTTGAGGATAAGTTATGTCCAGAATGCGATCTATTTGTAATGATATATTTCTACATTTTAAGACCAGGGTTGTGACATGGTTTTTGTATGTTCCTATTTTGTCTTTTCATGTAAAATCATTTATTTGTTATTTATATCCAGGTTTTGATGTTTCATCTTCAGAAGATATTTAATGTTTTATTACCTAAAATCCTTGTGCAATATTCTTACTTTATTCACATTTTGTTTTGTTCTTACAGGATTTCCTATGCTTGGAATTGAGTGGCAGAAGATGGAAAATCCTGATCTGCGCAAAGCAATGGAAATGAAACCTGACCAAAAGGGTGTGCGTGTGAGAAGAATAGAACCTACTGGACCAGAATTTGAGTTTCTGAAGTCATCTGACATTATCTTGAGCTTTGATGGAGTTGATATAGCTAATGATGGAACTGGTAAGGCAATCATTTCATGATATGAGCAACCTTTAGTTTCTGATGTTGAACAATCTCTTATATTTATCGCTGTGGATGGATCATATTTGAAAAATAATAGGGCTGGGATGTAATTTGTTGTGTTCATTGCAAAAAGTTACAGATTTTGTAGTGCTTTTAATGATTCTCACTCTTGTGTTCCTTGGTCAAGAATGGTACTTGCACTTCATCAGGATTGTGAAGGTTTGAAAAGTTGGGTAGAATTTTATGGAATGATCAATCCACAAGTAAACTTTTACTTGCACTTCATCTGGATATGAAAAGAAGTTGCTTTGTAGAATTTTATGGAATGTTCAACCAATTAAATACTTTTTAAATATTTACAACTTGGTTTTAATCTACTTATCACACTTATAAATTCTTAGCCAGTCGGCAGTCAGCATAATATTTATCAGGCCTTATCAACATGGATCTATACTGATTTCACTACAATTCTAGGTCTGTAAGGCATTTCGTCTAGTTATGTTGTCCAAGACAATGCTCAGTGTCATGGTAATATTTGTAGTCTACCTCAAATGTCTGGTACATCAGCTTGTTATATTACACCTGAAGTGTCAGCAGGCTTTATAGATTATGTAGTGCATGCAGATGGAATAGGATCATTGTAATCTCTTTATACTGTTCTCTAGAAATGTGGAAGATGTACCATATGGTAAAGAGATTTACAGTGCTTGATAGATAATCATTAAACTCCAAATTATTTGGACGGTAAATATATCGAACTGGGTATAGTCAAATTTGTTCTTTGGGATTATTAACTACTGCCTTGAAGTGCTAAATTGTCTGCAGATGCACATCTTGGTATTATTAGTTTGTTTTCTGTGGTTCTTTTAGAATTTTAATAATTACATGATATTTGATGTGGTGAATGTCATATTCTTTGTTTGCATAATTTGTTATTATTTACATTGATATAACCAAGAGAGGAGCATCGTTGGTTTTTATTCAACATAATGTATGGTTAAGATTTTGTCAAACTTTTTTTTTTTCAGAATGTTAGCTGCTTTAAATAGAGAAGGTTATAAATATTTTGTGCAACCTTGTTCTTTCTTCATAAGATGTTGCTTTATGAATGTGCTCTTTACATGTGACACTTATTTCATTGTGTGGTGTTGTTTAGTTCCATTCAGGCATGGTGAGCGCATTGCGTTTAGTTATCTTGTTTCTCAGAAGTACACCGGAGAGAATGCTTTGGTCAAAGTCTTGCGTGATTCAAAAGTTTATGAATTTAACATAAAGCTTGCGACACACAAGAGGCTCATTCCAGCTCACATTAAGGGAAAACCCCCCTCATATTATATAATTGCTGGCTTTGTGTTTACGGCTATATCTGTTCCATATCTTCGGTCTGAGGTGTGGAAACTATTTCATGTTTATTGCTATTCTTAATATTGTTTCAATTTTGTTTTTTGCAGAAAGTTATGAGTGGACACTGTTGGATGTTATGCCTTAACAGTTCGATACACAAGATTTCTTATATTTCTCATATCTATACTCCTTTAAGTGTCTCATATTTCTCACATTTCTTGTATCTATTCAACTGTTGGATGTTGAGTGGACACTGTTGGATATTATCACGTGCTTCCTCCTTGATATTTGGATCAACTCTTGTTTGTTTGTAAATCTGCTTTTGATAGCACCTCGTGCTACTATTTATTTTTTCTCTCCTCATCATCTCTATACTCCTTGAAGTGTCTAAGCTGGCTATCATGAGTTTGGGTGACAGTTTTACTGTAGTAACAATATGACTTCTATTTTGCTTGCATTTAAATTAGTAGCCTTCATATATTAGAAAAATCGTCTTGTTCAACTTAGATGTATGGTTTTGTTTTATTTTTTTTTCTCTGTTGATTTAGACCTGAGACTGCTAATTGTTTTCTCATACTTTCGTGGTGTCTAATAGAATCAATTAAATCTTTTTTTAAAAAAGAATCAATTAAATACTGCTAGCTTTACGATCTAGATTGAAAATTTGTCATCTTTTTATGCTATGTTCCTAGCACCTTTAGATACCATGGTATCCCACCATTGCCAGGTTTCAGGACCAGTAGATTGACCATAGTGTTTTGTCTCTGTACTGGCCAGCCAGTCCCTGGTACTGTTCTGGTGTTGAAATCTTTGCTGGATACACTATCTATCTAACACACTCCATTTGATTCTGCATTGTTGTCTTTCATGCTATAAAAGCAAATTAGATGCATCAGATGAATTCAGTGTATCAGCATATTACTTAATTTTATAGCGGGAATAAAAAAAATAGTGGCATCCACTTTGCAAGAATCATTAATTGGTACATGAGTGCTTCTTTTAGAAACAAGGGTAACCATTTACATACATTCTGCATTTCTTTAGCTGTTACTGTGTTTTACAAAGGCTTGAATTTTTTATTTTGTTCCTTATATGCTGCCACATCCTATGCAGTATGGGAAGGACTATGAATACGATGCACCAGTGAAATTGCTGGACAAGCTTTTGCACACAATGGCACACTCACATGATGAGCAGCTTGTGGTGATATCCCAGGTTTCTTTTTCTCTCGACCCCTTTATTTATTTCTGAATGTGAATGCCGGCCTTAGTATTTGCATCAATAAAAACTGTTGTTTTTGTCTAGTAATTGTTGTATCACTGTCCAGGTGCTAGTGGCAGATGTTAATATTGGTTATGAAGATATTGTCAACACTCAGGTTAGCACTAGTTCCCCAGACACATAGTTCCTCATGTTAACTTTATATTAACGTAGCTTATGTATTAATTATCAATTATTGACAAGAATGAGGGTATTGACTTCTATTTTGTACTGAATATTGTATTTGTATTTTTTAATTTTTCTTTTCAGTGCTTTCTCATTTGGTCAATGATTACAGGTAATGGCTTTTAATGGTAAACCTGTTAAAAATCTGAGAACCTTGGCAAACATGGTTGAAAATTGCAGCGAGGAGTTTTTGAAGTTTGATCTCGAGTACCAGCAGGTATGTCTCTCTTTTGGTGCCAGTTAACATTAATCACAGTTGCTTTTCATTTGGCTTTATAGTATTCCAACTGCTAGTGCTTGCTAATTCAAAATATTGTACTTTTATGTATCACCAACCCAAACAGTGGCAAAAAAAATTCTTTAATCTGAATAATTTAGGGTCTGATGAAGTTGTCCACTTTATACCGATTTGGTTTCAGCTAACTGAGGCAACACCTTTTTGTTATCTTAGGGTTCCTCATTGTTCTCCGAGCAGCTTTTTCTTTAGTGATGTTTTTGCATGCATTCTCAACTTCTACTAGCAGGAGGCATCCTTCCCAAGAAGTTTTCTTCTATTGTTATCTTTTTTTTGCATTGATATATACCCTTGCTAGAGTAAGAATTCATTAAAAATGTGTAATGGAAGTATTTAGTTTCCTTCATAAGAGTTCCTTTCTTATATATATATATATTGGTGATGTTTTGCTTACATTCCTAAAATGTCATAAGACCTATAAGCCGGTCATGCTACTACTGCAGCAAATTTTGTACAAAATTGGTGAATAAACACTTGCTACATATCGTTTTCTTGCTGACAGATAGTAGTCCTCCAGACAAAAACTGCAAAGGCTGCGACACCAGATATCCTTGCAACACACTGCATACCCTCTGCAGTATCCGAAGATTTGACGTCGTGAAGGGAAGGAAGGTAGCTGAAGACGTTATTGAGCGTTATATTTCTGTGGAAGCCACAGATGTTGGGCATCAGTTAATTATATGCTATGGGAAGATGTGTTGTTTTTACCATAATTGCCAAAATTCTAGTGTAGCTATCACACAGCATGCCGTGTTGTCGTACAATGTTCCACAGGAGATGCATGTTTAAATCACTTATGTAGAGTTTTTGGTAGAGCAAAACTGTCAGGTTTTCTTATTCGTTCCAGATGTAACCGTGATATAGCGCTACAGGGAATCTGCTTTAGTAGTGACGTGTCCACCTAATCAATTTAAAAGTTAGAACCGTGTTAAATGATTGTGGCATCATCCAAAAATTGGGCAAAGATCTCTTTTTATACTGAGGCCAAAAGAACATGTGGGTATCTGCGGATGTGGAATTTTCTTATGCCTGCCTTCCTGCATTAAGCCTTTTCCACCGATCACATCTTTTATATTTACGCTTATGCATCTGAGTCTAAAATATTATTTAGTAGGTAGGATTTGGGACTCGTGGATGATGGGCTAGACATTGTCATCTCATCCCGTTTGCTTATATAAGCTGAAATCGGATTCGGGTTTGGTTCGGTGGTGGTTAGCATGTTCAAAAAGCCTCAAATATTACTTCACGTCTAAGTCTTCACGTTCTCCGCCTTGTTCCTCTGCTTTTATGACGCCACCGCCCGCATCATTCATACCCTACCTTCCCACTCCCACATCTCTCTCTCTCTCTCTCTCGCTGGAATTCAATCCCTTCGTACTCATCGAAGCAATTGCGAATGCGAGTTCTGAAGCGGAGCGATCCAAGGAACAGTCTCTCTCTCTCTCTCTCTCTCTCTCGGTCTCTGTTTTGCCAGCAAAAACTGCACTAAAAAGCTAGGAATGCAATGAGGATCATGTGATCTGTTCCTCCCCAAAGCTGCTTCTCTTCTCTCTTTCCCCAAGGCTGCTTCCTTTTTCTCCAATCCCCCCTTTACTCTTCGAGATGTCATCAGGCGCTTCCAGGTTCATCAAGTGTGTGACCGTCGGAGATGGAGCCGTCGGCAAGACATGCTTGCTCATCTGCTACACCAGCAACACGTTCCCAACTGTGATTCCCTTTCTCCTCCCTTTTAACCTCTTTTGTTATTTTCAGAATCTGTTCCTTGCTTTCTGTTTCCAATCCTCTCGGGTTTCTTGACTCTTGATCTTTCTTCCGTGATTCTTTGCAGGATTACGTGCCCACCGTGTTCGATAACTTCAGTGCCAATGTGATTGCGGAGGGAAGAACCGTGAATCTGGGCCTCTGGGATACTGCAGGCGGGATCGTGTTCCCCGTCCTTCTTGACCTCGGATCATGGGGGAAAAATCTGACTCTGGGTTTTTCGTTGATTGTTTGTAGGACAAGAGGATTACAACAGACTGCGACCACTGAGCTACCGAGGTGCGGATGTCTTTGTGCTGGCTTTCTCATTGGTGAGCCGAGCCAGCTACGAGAATGTTCTGAAGAAGGTGAGTGTAGGAACATGGAATTTTGCCTTCATGACCGATGTTGATTACTAAATCTGCTTCGCTTCTGCCTCTTGTGTTGATGATTTCCAGTGGATGCCTGAGCTGCAGCATTATGCTCCTGGAGTCCCTGTGGTCTTGGTTGGTACCAAGTTAGGTGAGCAGAGAACCAACCTAACCAGCAATGTGCTTTTATGCATCTACTAGACAGCTTTTTTTGTTCAATGTTTACTTTTTACTGGATGAGTTTCTTTTGTTTCATCTTCTTTTAAAGTGAAAGTATAACTTGTCATATAGGTTTTAAAGATCCATGTGATCTTTCTCTTTAATTTTACATCTGAAAATTTTCAATCATAGATCACTTGTCTGCGTTTGCCAAACGCTATATGTAAGTACCAATTGCTTTGCTGGTAGATGTGGAAATTGATCTGCTCCATTTAAGAGCATTCTTTTCTTGCTGTATAGCAGTTTATTATTATATTACATAATACATACATACTCACTAGCTGAAGCTGGTCATATGAATTCATCTATGGATAACAAATCAGAGCAGATCATTCTAGTTGATGAGATGAATTTGTGTGAGAAAACACTGCTAAGTCAAATTGGTGTTCTTCATGGTATTGATCATGGGAGACACGTTAGGAAGGGGGATCTTGAGTTACCCAGGTTAACCCCGTCCAAAAAAGCGGAACAGTTATAGGATCATAGGAGTCGATCTAGATAAAGAAGGAGAGGCATCTCTACCGGTTCTTCCATTTTTAGGACACAAATAAACCAAGAGAAGTCTGTGAAGAATACCTAATCGATGGATAAGTTTTGTGAAGTATTGTTAGAAAAAGTAGTGGACTGATAAGTCTATATAAATGAGTGTAGTCCAAACAAGAATTCATGGGCTGAAGCCCCATAATTTAAAGCTTCATTATTTTTCTTGCTGATGTGGGACTGAAAGTCTCATGTATCTTCACCAGCGAGAAACAAAATGAAAGGATTGAAGATATTTTAGCTAGACCGTGATGGCTATTCTTATCTAAACATTTCTCATACTTTTTTTTTTGTCCACTAACAATATGTATTGCAGATCTTCGTGAAAATAAGCACTATTTGGCAGATCATCCTGGGATGTTGCCTGTTACTACCGTACAGGTTTCATATCTGTTCCTCAAATATAAAATCTGATTACTTCAAATTTCTTCTGCTTCATGGTTCGTTGACTGTTTTGGTGGCTATGATTCTTGATCATAGGGAGAGGAACTTCGTAAGCAGATTGGTGCTGCATATTATGTTGAGTGTAGCTCAAGGACTCAGCAGGTCAGTCTCAAATCAAATCTCTCTCTTGCAAATTTATTGGTTAAGTGACAGCTTCATGCGGTATTGCTAATTCACTATATTTTGTCCTTGGGTTGCTATTTAATTATGAATCTCATGTACTTCCTTAGGCTAACACGAATATTATAAATTTTGGGTAGAATGTCAAGGCAGTCTTTGATGCTGCCATCAAAATAGTTATTCAGCCTCCTTCAAAACATAAGGAGAAAAGGAAGAGAAAAACAAGACACGGTTGCTCAATTCTGTAAGTAAGCGTATTCCCTTTACATAATCAATTAGATGTCTTCTAGGTGTATACATAATTTCTGTAATGTGCATTCTCTTGATTGATGATGCTGTTATTTTTTTTTGTTTCTGATCTCATTGTTCCTAAATGAAATGGTACTTGTACACGTATATGTTTTCTGGTGTGTTTTAACCTTTGCGTACTTCTTCTAGTATGGTCAAAATATAAGGACTTGTTTAAGGTCTTCTAGTACTCCACAGATTTCTCTCTTGAATCTTCTACTCATAAATATTCGGTCTTCAATATCTTGTAACATCTCCAGAGTAAAAGCTGGAGTTGCTGCAAATGTATTAACTGTACTCTCACCTGATAACTTTGTTGATATTAAGGTGTTTTTTGATATTTTAGAAGTCATCCTTCACTGAGTGCTTCATTATAATATAGGCCCTTTTTTGTAATTAAAATCAGAGTTTCAGCAACCAATACTTGAGCACGATCCATATGTATGTATATATATATATATATGTATATGTATGTATATATATATATAATATATATATATATATATATGTATGTATATATATATATATAATATATATATATATGTATGTATATATATATGTATGCTATCACTGCCAAATCAATTTATGCTAATAAAAATGAAGAACATTGCTGTATCAAATCTAATTTTGATCCTAGATAGATGTCGTATCAAACAAAAGGACGTGCCAACAAGATAAATTAAGATCTATCTGATGTAAGAGATCGATTATGAAAATTACCTCATATAGTATGATCAATTGTATCAATTTTATTAGATCAGACATGCTGCTTTTAAGGCCCATTTCATCCTTCTTTATGATTCTATTATGGTTTCTTTGTTATCCACAACAAGAAGGTTAATTTGAACAGTTTGAGGCGAGAAACTTATTGATCTTTTCAGTGCTGAGCATCTCTTATGTTTCCATCCTTGTACATTTTATACAGCGTCAAGTCATTCTTATCACAACATTGATTTTGTTTTCTCTAGATGTTGTTCAGCTTTTTCTGTAAGAGAAAAGACTCTTGACATCTATGAGTTTTACAAATGCCAAAATACAAGACAAAAAATTATCGACGAGATTTGCATAAAAAGCAACTTATGCTGGAATTGCAGGAATATTCCGTGTGTGAGGAGACTTGTGTGTTTTAAGTGAAGGCACTTGCAATAAGAAATGACTGATCTCGTTCGCATGTTTGCTTTGCTCTCCTGACCCGAAGATTCGGAGGGCTGCATCAGCTGTGAGTTCGATAGTGTGGAAGATTTTGTAAATTGTAAATGTTTGATCTGCTGGTATCGAAGGAAAAACAAACCGCACGCCTAAAGAAGTGGATATATATGGTGTTGTCGATAGAGTTGGGTTGCAAGTTGTGCTTTTTCACCGATACAAACGGTGTCTCTCTCGACTGGGACGACTGGGAAGGTTGACTAAGCCGAGTAAAGAGATTTCACAGGTTATCGTGACACTAACTACGTTGGTGACGATGTTGATTTCATGTTGTTGACCCTGGGAGCCTAATCTTTTTCAACATCTTGTTGACCCTGCAGAAGAATATGGTGGATCAATCAGATGTATGAAATTTAAGAAAGAGGCAGAGATTAGAGGTAAAATTGAAGAACTATCACATCATTCATTCATTCATAAGATGCATTCATCATTTTATGAACGTCAACTAATCCTGATTGTTGGTGCCTGGGAGATGGTAGGTATTTGATCAATCATTTTTTTTTTAATCTTTTCCTCTTTTATTTATCATCCATAAGATCACTGTTCATGAACCATCAACGATCATGATTCTATTTTCTCATCACAGTCACGAGTACATCAACTTCCAAAACTCTTTTCATTGCATCTTAGTTTCTGGCGTAAGATTTACGCTTGATTAAGTTCTTCAAATTCCCAAGATCATCAGGGAAGACAGTTTCCTGCTAAACCCTAATATCCTTGTGCGAGCTCGATTGTCGTAGTAGTACTTCTTCCGTGCTTCAAGCGATAGAGCTACTTTCCAAAGGATGAGATATGTTTTTTTTCGGTCTTCTTTACGTAACTCGAGATAAGAAGAGTACATAAATTGATTCTTTCTTTTCGGATCCTGCTGCTTCATCGGGGAAGAGCTGTCCTAAAATGGATTATGAGATGCTTTCAATATAAATCCAAATGACGGGTTTCAATGTACCAAGGAATAATTAGTGAAGTGTGTCTGTGTGTGTGGCTTTTTTTTTTGTGTGTTTT